ACATACATACATACATACATACATACATACATACATACATACATACATACATACACAGATGCACACCTATACACACTCGCATATAAACATGCACAAACCGACAGACACACACCACATTTATGAGTACACATACACACAAACCCACATAACCAAGATAAATGCAATTAATACATGCATTTCAGATAAAAACATCATGAGCACCCCAAATAGATAAACAGGTCTACATAACGCTAATAAAAAACAGACACGAAAAGAGACACCTATACACATATAGTACAGTCAAGTGTATAATAATAATCTATTATGTAAAAGCTGTAACGTTATCAGAGCACGTTGCAGAGCAATGATATGCGTTATACATGTATAAATGCAATTATTATTATTATAATTGCATGGGATGGAGCGCGATACAATTGCAATCAGTTATTATTAATATTATTATCATTGTCATCAATATTTTTCTTCTTCTTCTTCTTCTTCTTCTTCTTCTTCTTCTTCTTCTTCTTCTTCTTCTCCTGCTCCTCCTCCTCCTCCTCCTCCTCCTTCTTCTTCTTTAATAATCATTGCATTTATGTAGTGTGCTTATCCACATATCTACGCTCTACATCATGCTCTGTGCGCTTTACAATTTTTATTACCCCAGAAAACCCTAGAATACTTAGGCGTGGGCACATTTTTGGCTTCCTGGAAAGCATACAGTGCAAACTGCTGATTGTATGCGCTCAAACACTCCAAAATTGACCAAATCTTTCCCTTTTTTTAATCGGGTACCCGATACCACGAGGGTGAAGTGGGGAAAATGTATGTGAAATGCCTTTCCCACGTCACAACGTCGGGCCCCTGACGGGATTCAAACCTACGACATTAGGGCTGAGAGTCCGGGAACTTAACCACTAAACCACCAACGCCACTGATTACCTTGATTCGAACGTTTAACAACACATTCAGTTAGCACAGTGGGTTGGGAAAAAATTTTGTTTGTTTTGCAAACAAGTAACTTTAAGATAAATTTTGTCCCATTTTGATTTCACCCGATTATTTTACACCTTCCAATGGGTCAACTATATTTCCTAAACATGGATTTTGTACCTGGCCTATCTATCTATCTATCTATCTATCTATCTATCTATCTATCTATCTATCTATCTA